TTTGAGAGGGACCACATAGCCCTGGTGGCCTCAACTCAGCAGGGCTTTTCTCCAGGCCAGCCCCACCAGCAAGCTCTTAGGGACAAATGTCCCACAAGCCATCTACAGAGGGAGGAGCGCCACCTCCCGACGTTGGGTGTCTTCTTGTCCCCAGGATTCCAGGATGGAAAAGGGGTAAAAACCACTTTTGTGGGGTTTTCCCGCCCTCCATTGTTTTTATCAGTCAGCAACCATCGCTTCAAGAGTGAACAAACCCAAGTCTGGCAATGGGTTCCAAGCTGAAGCAGTTCCTCCTGCTAGATACATGCTAAGCATCTTAAACAACGACAGCAGCAGTTCAGGATTGCTTCCTTCTGCTTGGGGGCTAATCTGACTGAAAATTCCCTCCACTACCATCACCACCTCAAAACGCACTCACCAGCTCCCAGCCTCCAACAGAGCTCCCACCACAAGGCACAATTTGGTAAATGAGGCACTTGTACAGATTTTCATGAAGGCTGTGCATAGTTTAGCATAGGTGCTCATCCCCAACATATCCCAGTTTATCCTCATAAACCCAGTTCCCTTGGATGATTCCAGCTGGTTTGACTGAGGTGGCAGGAGCGGACAGGGCTGGCTTAGAGCTATGTACTTGCTAGCCAACTAGCACATACATGCTTTAAAACAGCTAAGGCTTACCAGCAGGCAGGAAAACCTCTCTCTTCAGAGCTGCTCATGGAACTGCAGCCTCAAGACGGACACAGGTTTGGGTGGCATGGTTTAGTGTGAGGTGTCCCTGCCCATGGCAGGGGGGGTGGAACTGGATGATCTTAAGGTCCTTTCCAACCCAAACCATCCTGTGAAATTCCACTTTCCTGCTTCAGGGGAATACTAATTTTAAGGCTGCTACCTTTGAAACTCGAAGGGGAATAAAAAGGAAGAAAATCAGCGGGTGAGACCTCTCTTGTTACACTTGGCTGAAACCAGCCAGCAGGTTCATGTGTTAAAGGAGGCTGAGGGGGAGCCAGCCAGCTTGTGCAGTCATCGAGTCTGGTTTCTAGGGAAACAAGGTAAATGTTTTTCCTCCTTCTCACCACCTTTTAACTCTTGACAGGGCTCTTTTACACATCCCCACAGGAAATAACCCTCTACCATCCACCTTTCCCTATTTCAGTTTGAGGAAATGGCATGAAAACAGGGGTCTGTCTCAGAGCAGCACCGCACTTTCAGTGTGTAGATCCATGGAGTTGTTGCCGTGTCTCCAATTATGGTCAGTGAAGGGCACGCCAAACGCCATTATCTAAATTTACACGAGCCTTCCGTCGGGCCATGCCCAAAGTGCCGGTGATCTCACTGCTGCGGCTGGAGGCAGACAAGCACTGGGGGCAGCCACTGCCTTTCTTGGTATAAGGCCTCAGCCCCGACACCACAACGCTTACTGTCCGGACTGATGCTGTGCATGGAGCTGGTCCCTGCACACAGGCACTGTCTCATCTGCCCTTCACCATCACACTGGGCTGGAACACCAGTCAAAGTGTCTCCCCAGTATTTTGAGCCATGCAGGAATACACCACCAGTAGCACTGGCAGCTCTCCCTCCTCCTTAGAGGGTGGGATGTAGAGTCATCACCCTCCTCCCCTGTCAGGCCAGCCTGTTTCCTCTCACCAGGCAGACTTCCAGGATGGGAAATTAATTTGGGAATACCCAGCTGCTGCAAGGCTGGATGTGTCAGGGAAAGGGATTCTGGAATACCCACCTTACGTGAGGCATGCTGCATTTGCAGTGTGCAGGTTACATACCCTCCATCACAGAGAAAGAGGAGGGTTTCCACAGCAACAGCCAGCGCCAGCCACCCACCTAAGATTTAGTGGTTTCAGTTGTGTGAAGGAGTTTCCTTTGTTTCAAAACCTGTTCAATACAAAGGAGCTCTTTAGTCACCCAGCAGAGGATTAACATGAGGAATAAGGCCTCTGAAATGGCAAACACTTATAGGGCTCCTGCTGCTTCACTATTTCAACCAAGCAATGAAGTCTTGCTCTGTGCCCCACAATCTCTGCTCTCCAAAACCAGTAATGGCAGCTTCTTCCTTGTTAGAGCAACCCTGCTGATTTGGGTGTTCAGGAATTTGAGCTTTACTTGCTCCTTTGCACCGGGTGCCTGCAGTGAGAGTATCGGACCTGATGCAGCTATGCATAAACCAAGAGACAAAGTTAACTTCTTTAAAATGTTTATTTTCTCGTCCTGAGAGCACACAGGCCACAAGACCCTTGCAGACATTAAGCTGTTTCCTCTTTAGCAATGCGATCTTTCTTGAGTGGTCCCTAAAAAAAAAAAAGAGAATAAACTATGTAAACAGCAGCTTACACCAAAGAGCACATCACACCCCAATCACAACCCTGCCATTTCTTCTCCCCTTGCTACAAAGCAAATTAAGGCAAAAAAAAACCCTTCAATGTTGCAGCCCGTTGGAAATCCAAGCCCCATCCCCACAGTTACAGGTTTCAGGGTAAAACTGAACACAGCACAGCCACAGGGCACCATATCCACGACTCTACCTGGAGCAGAGACTCTACACATGGCTGGTGCCACCTTGTGGGGAAGTGCGTGTGCAGCCCCCCAGGCACGTGAACCATGCTCTGACCCAGCAAGGGCCTCACACCCAGGACTCCAGACCGGCCTTCTCCAGCAAGCGACAATGAGACCACAACCCAGAGCCCACTGTGAGCACCATCCAGAGCTGCTCTCAGAAGAAATGCAGCGCAGACAGACTTCCCACTTGTGTCAGACAGTGTTCAGTGCTTATTCCACACCTCATCACTGGATGATTTGTACTCAAACATGGCAACATCCCTCAGGAACCAAGTACTGCCTTAGGGGAAGCGAGACCCCAATCCAGCCTGTGGTCATAACCAAGTTGGAGGCTGAACCTTCTTCACTGAAGCTACACACTTCATTTCACAGGAATCCCAGACCTGTGGCAGCCCAAGGGTCAGGCTACCAACTGCTATTACCTGACAAGGCAATACACAGTACAAAGCTGCCCAGCTTCAGGAAATGTCCTTACCATGAAAGCCTTCTTCTCCTCAGCTGTCTGGAAGCGGCCATGGCCAAATTTGGAGGTTGTGTCAATGAACTTCAAGTCAATCTTCTCCAGGGCCCGGCGCTTGGTCTGCACAAGCAGGGACTGCGAGAGACACCACGTGAGTGAACACACAGCAGCACCCTTTCAGCCTGCCAGTATGCTGACTGCTTCTGATCACCTCCATGGCTAACACCCTCCCCTAAGTCACCCTGACCTCATGCTTTTGCTGCTATGATGTGCAAGGAGCACTTGCCAGTAAGCTAGCTGACATCTTTGGCTTTCAAGAGTGAAGACTGGTGAGGTCACACCAGCAGGTGAGCCCAAGTCTGCCCATCAGTGTCCTTATGGTCCACAAGAATTCTCAACCCTAAAGCATGCCTTTACCTGCAAACAGCCCTGGACTGAATGAACTCCGGAAAGGATCTCACACTACTGTGGAGGTCACTAATACAAGGTGTGTCTGAATGCATGAGGCTTTTCTTTTTAGCTGGCTATAGAGTCCCCTTGGCAGCAACAACTACCTGTACCGAAGGCAGCACAGCTACCTTAAGCTGCACCAGCCCATCTGACAGCAAGTCACACTACTCACCTTGCGCAGGGTTAGGACTCTCTTCTTGGTCCCAACAACACAGCCTTTCAGCATGATGAAGTCATTGGTCACCTCCCCATAGTGGACAAAGCCTCCCTGAGCAAGGGGAGAGCAAGTTAGTGTTTTGTATGAAGCAGGAGCAATGATCACATCTGCCTACAGCTTGATGCTCTCACTTCACCTTCTGGGTCTCAACCACTCCCACATTCACTAAAATCCCATTTCCAGTATTACCTTTTGCTGGTTAAATTCTTTGATACAGGAATTTAGCTGTATCAAGGTTAAAAAGGCAAATGCCTTACAGCAGCAACAAGAGGCAGCTAACAAAACAAAAGCACAGGCTGCTCTCCCTGCTAAGTTAATCCTTATTTACAAGTACCACCTACAGTAGAGGTTTGTAACATCTCTCTCTACTACTGCCACATATCAAACAAAATTAGCAAGTTACACAAGTCCATACTGAGAATGACTAAGCAACACTGCCTCCCACAACTGCCAAGCTGTATCTCAAAAGCTCTTCATTCAATCATTTTGCAGCTTACACCAGGCCCATTTGCCTTATAAGATGGCAGCTCATAAGCAAACTCTCCAGAGTTCAGCAACTCACCAGAGGGTTAATGCTCTTGTCAGACAGGTCATAATCAGTTGAAGCATTGTTTTTGATCAGCTTTCCATCCTTGATTTGGTAACCCTGGCCAATCTTGTAGATCTAAAAATGACAACAATTTCTACTTACTAAAAGATAGGAGAAAGGACCTGTCATCAGCCAAAGCACAAATTGTTCTACATAGGGTTGGAGAAAAATGTCTACTGCACTTTGAAAACACGTGGCTGTGAGAGAATTTGATGGTTATTCAACATTACTGCCCTGAGATTACATTCAAACAGAGCTAAACATCCAAAGCAAAACTCTATTCACTGTCATGCAGCATGTGAGCCCAGCCAGCTCACGTTCCTTCCCAGCAGGTCAGAGAAACAAACCTTCTTATTGATTTCAGTCCGATGGTGATAGCCCTTCTGACCAGCCCGGGCCACCGAGAAAGCCACACGAGCAGGGTGCCATGCGCCAATGCAGGCCACTTTGCGCAGACCCCTGTGAGTCTTGCGGGGCAACTTTTTGGTGTGCCAGCGGCTGGTAACACCTGGAAGAAACCAAAGCAGCACTGTCACTAACTACTGTCAAACAGAGATTCATCAAATTGTTCAACTGGAGTTTAAGCCATCTTTCAAGCTGCTGCCCTAGGCCACAAAGCGAAGCCCAGACCCACATCCCAGGAATTCACTCAGCTTCCCTGTGAAGCACCCTGCCCCTCAACTGCCCACAGCCCGTCCCCCCAGCTGTCCCTTGGTCGTGTTCTCAGAAGGAAGGCAGCATGGAATGACTCCTCACGGATGTCAGGCGCCGTGCCCAGCGCTCATTCCATGGTCTCATCATTGAACCATGACAGCACGATGGATTCACCCCCTCAGCTTAAGTCTACACACTTCTGAAAACTTGAAGCTGTATCCAATCACAAACAGGAGAACTTCTATGTGTTTACCTTTATATCCCTTGCCCTTGGTGACTCCAATGACATCAATCATCTCATCCTGGCCAAAGACAGTTGACACAGGCACCTGCTGTTCCAGCTTCTCCCGGGCCCAATCCACTTTCTCAGCAACTGTGCCACCATTCACCTGGATCTCCATCAGGTGAGACTTCTTCTGTCTCAGGGGAAGCAAACGCATCTAGGGAACAGGAAGAACGGAATTTAGCTCCTGTTCCTCCAAGAAAGACCTTCAACAGCTCAGTATCCTCCTAGCCCTGGCTGAATCTGTTCAACTAAATATATCCTTTCCCAAGATGAACTTCAACATATTGAAGTAAAAGGCCCTTCACCAGGTAGAAAGGCTCTAGGCTCTACTGTAGCTGAAATGGCAAGACACATTATCTGGAAATTATATGCCACCCACAGCCACCAGTCAAACTCCATCCAGGAAGAACAGGAGACAACGAGGGGAACGGTTTTAGACTTAAAAAGGAGAGATTTAGATTAGGCACAAATAAGGAACTGTTTATGACTGATGGTGGTGAGACACTGGAACAGGCTGCTCGGAAAAGCTGTGGACAGACCCATCCCTGGCAGTGTTGAAAGCCAGGCTGGATAAGGCTTTGAGCAAGCTCATCTAGTGGAAGGTGTCCCAGCTCACTGCAGGGGGGTGGCACTACATGATCTTTAAACGTTCCTTCCAACCTAAACCATTCTACAATTCTTTGTACATTCTGCCACACTGAAGGACACTTTGGGTACGGTCACATTTAGTTCTATATTTAGCAGATGGGGACTGATACAACTATTAACAGCAGCTGCAATACTACCTTTGCTATTTGGCATGCAGGACAGGTAAGAAGCTCCTACCAGGGTTCAGACTCTTTTGGACACTCTTCAAGCACCCTGCGAGCACACACTTTGTACAGGGTGAAGAGTACTAGTATCTGAATTGTGCACAATAGTTAGCACCAGGCTGCAGGGGAGGGCAGCAATATCCCTGCAGAGATGGAGTAAGTTTTATGCTTGCTCCCTTGGCTGTTTCCAGTGTACATCTGAGTCCCACAGACACTTACCTGAGTGTGAGCCATGACTCTAATAACTTGGCAGTATTTCTTCATGCTATTGAAATCTTTCTCCAACTGCTTTTTGCCTTCCTCATCTTGCCATTTCTTGCAGTATTTGGTGAAGGCCTTCTTCTTGGACTTGTGCCTTCAGGAGCAGAGCAGAGACAAGGTTGGCTAAGCCCTTCATCGATCCCCAGGGAAGTGGGGATGAGCGGAAGGAGCTGCCACCTCGGCTGGTTTTGGCTCATTGCCAGCTTCTAAGGACTCTTTTCCACTGGCAAGCGGAGCCTGGAGCTCATCAGACAGTGGCAAAGTTGCCAGAGCTGAGCGGAGCTGCCATGAATTCCAAAGCACATAACATTCACAGTACAGAAGACAAAAGACTGTAGAGAGATGTCAAACAGTAACAGAAAAAAAAACAGATCTTTAAAGCAATTGTCAAATTGATGCTATCTGCTGCAGAATACCATAATCTCCCCCCCCCCGTAAGCCCAAGCTATGCCCAACAGTAAAGTCATTACTGTAACACCCCTGAGATCATTACTGCTCTACTCTGACGTCTTTTCAGCCTGCAAAGTTCATAAACAGGCTGTAAGCTCTAGACACGCTGGAGCCACACTTGGGCAAATGTGCATACTTTGAATCACAACAACAGTGCCTGGAACAGTAATCAGAAGTAACACTTGTCTTCCCCTTTCCTGAGAAAACAGGGCTACAGTCAGGACTCGACACTCAACAACAAGCACCAGAGGCGATTTCCTTATGTCCGCCCGTCGAAGTATCATCATGTGTAGCCTGTGAAAGGAGATCTCGGGCAAGAACCAACACTGTCACCCCCATGCCAAGAAAGGTGCTAACACTGTGCTGCCACCCTCACAAAGCCATTTCTACAGCCTATCCCATTATTAGGCCAGTTCACCAAGGCCAAACACTAACTGCTGAAGAGCCTCTTCAAAACACTGTACTAACATTATCTTCAGCCCAGTAAAAGAAATAAACCATGTCATGAGATTAAGGTCATAAGCAAAAGCCCTGCTTCCTTACCAGTTCTTGTAGAAGCGACGCTTACACTCATCGCTGATGTGCTCAGCAAAGATGGTCTTGAAGCTACGGAGACCACGAGGAGTCTGCACATATCCCACAATGCCCACAATGACCATGGGAGGAGTCTCTACTATAGTGACTGCCTCAACCACCTCTTTCTTGTTCACCTCTGGATGAAGGCAGAAATTCGGCACAATTAACACCAGCATCAGCTATTGAAGCCCACCAAAGGCAAAATGGATGGCAGTAATAAAACCACTTTCAGGACTGCACAATCAGGAAAAGAATTCCAAAAGCAATTTACTTATGTCTGCTCATCAAGAAGAAGTCATCCTAAGTAGCCCCTTACAGTACACTAAACTAAACCATCAGGTCACTGTGCAGCTTAGAAACAGGACCATTAACAAGACAGACACTGCTAGACATGAGGTGCGGCTGCTGCGACACCACTCATATTGAGGGGGAAGGGTTTGGGTGCTTTATACCTCACCCACTCAAGGAATTTAAAGAGAGTGAAGTCAAGCTAGGACTAAAATTCAGAGCTACCAACAGAGAGATCACCTTTCACCATTCAGAAAGAAAAGAGAAACACCTCCTCTATTAAAGAGGAACACCAATACATACTGGATCCAGGTCTGTCAACTTCACGGACAATGTGGGTCATGCCAGCTTTGTACCCCAAGAAGGCAGTGAGATGGACAGGCTTGCTGGGGTCATCTTTGGGAAAGCTCTTCACCTTGCCCCTGTGCCTGCTACTGCGCTTGCGGGGCAGGAAGCCCAGAGAGCCATGCCTCGGAGCTGAGAACTTGCGGTGAGACTGGAGAGAAAACAAACATTTAGTGCTTGCTCTTCACTTACACCCAGTCAAGGGCCCAAGGCCAATTCTCTTCCTGCCTTGAAACATTAATATTGCATATATACATAAAGCATTTTGCATTCTAGGAATTTTTCTCAGTATCAGCTGTTTGGCTTCTGAATGACATTATAAGAATGCAGTCCTTATGCCTCAACTGTGTCCTTCCTGGATTTCCTCAGCAACCCCTCCCTTTCAAGCTTATTTTAAGACACCATCAAGTCCCACTCTAGTCAGTGAGCCACACAAGCTGCCATCTGACCGCAGCATGCCACCAGAATTTCAGTGCTCCTAAAAGCCTAGACAATGAGGAAGCACAGATAACTTCATAGTATGTTTCACTGAATCAAATATGAAAAAAGGCATTTCAGTCTGAAGCGGCAATACAACACTAATTCAACTTCCACCTATGAATTAAGTCACTTGGAATAAATGCAGTAAAAATACAACGCTGTATTCCTAGCGGCCTCCCTTTGCAACCAGAGAGCCACGGCTGGGTTCCAGAGAACTCAGCCCAACAAAGAACCACCCATCCAATCTCATATCCAGATTGAAGACAAATGTACACGCAGCGAACAACCAATAGCTAACAAATGTGTCACACTAAAGAACACCGGACACAAACTGCTTTAAGCAGATGGAGTTCACCAAGCCCCCAAAGGGATTTTTAGGATTATGAATCTTGTGGCAGGGCGGATCAGAACTGAATTTTGACACCACACGAAATGCCTTCGCATTGTGTGGCACAATCAAACACGAAACGTGACCCTACAGAGGACAGGCGGTGAACTGCATTATCAGACAGACTTGACTCCTCCACGTGCTCTCACCACCCCCGGCCACGGCCTCACTGCAGGCCCTTACGAAGCAGCCGCGCTCCCGGCCCCCAGACGCGCAGTGACCGGAGCGCCGGGCCGGGCACACGTTACGGCCGGGAGCTCCCTAAAGATGAGCAGCCCCCTTCTTGAAAACCACAGGGACAGCAAACCCCGCCACAAGGCTCCTGGCACACCGCCACCCGCGCCACCCACACCCCAGCGCCTCCGAGCAGGCCCGGCCTGCGCCCCTAACGCGAAACGTCCCCCGCACCCGGCGCCTGCCGCGGCCGAGCCCCGAAATGAGCCCCGCAGCGTAACCCGAAAGGTCCGGGAGAGGCAGAGGCACGGCCGGGTACCCGCCAGTGGCGGGATGGCGGCGATGCCCCAGGGATGGCGCGGCCGGGCCCGGTCAGCCCCGCCGCCAGCAGCACCCACCATGTCGTCCCCGCGCCGGGCCGGAAGGGTCGGAAGCTTCCGCCCAAGAGGCTTTAATAGTCGCTCCGCCCCCGGGTGACGCAGGTGAGTGCCGCGCAGGGCCTCGCGAGAACGGCTACGGGGCGGTGCTACGGGTAGGGAGCGGGGTCAAAAAGGGTGCGGGCAGCGGATGCGCGGGAAAATCGTACGCGCTACGCGAACCCGTGACGTCCCTCATGGTTCAGATGTATAGAATGTTAGTGTGTCCCACGGCAGTGCTTCTCATCAAATAGGATTGATGTGTTCTTTCCATGGAAATAAGGGGCTTGTTCCAAGCAGGGAGTATCTGTCACAATGGAGCATCCCGATGTGGTGTTGACATGGTTTTATTGAAAAGCTCCGGAGCCACAGGAAGGTGTAATGACCCCTGAGGCCTGACAAATATTCATTGCAGTTTGCAAGAGATGTTATGGAATGTGAAGAAATGCAGTAACAAGAAAGAAAGAATAAGATAAAATAGGTTTCACTGCTGGCACTGGCAGCCATTACTGTCACATGTATTTCAACACAGAGAAATAACTTCTGTGACACAGGGACGTGCTCTCAGGCCGATTGTGTGTTGTTCAGGGGCTGTGCCCTGCTGCATATCCCCCCAGTGCTTGGTACAGCACAGTGCCAAACTCAATCAGGGCCTCTGTGTGCTACTGCTGAGTTAATAATGAACAATAAAAACAATGGCGATGCTCAGGTTATGCTGCCAGAGAGAGGCTGCAAACCAGACTTTCTGTGGAAGCTGTCTGGGGCTGTTGTTATTATCCACACTGTCATTTCTCTTGCCCTGCTTCCCATTGTTCTGACACTTGGATGAGCATCACCAGTGCCCGCTGTGGCTTGGGATACATTGGCTGGCTGGAGCTCACCAGCACGGGAGCTGGCACCGGAGCGGCTATTCGGAGAAGGGGTGGAGCAGAGCTGAGGTGAAACCTGAGGAGGGAGGGCGAAGGGGGACAGCAGATAAATTATTCACTTCCCCTCCATTGACACCGGGAAACTGGATAGGACTCAGCTGAAGAAGCTTCCCTGGATTAAGAACTGTATGAGCAGGATAACTGATCATAGAATCAGCTAGGTTGGGAAAGACCTGTAAGATCATCAAGCACAACTGTTACCCCAGCACTTCCAACTCCATGTCACTAAGGTATCTGTATCTACAGGGTTTTTGAACACTTCCAGGGATGGTGATTCCACCGCTGCCCAGGGCAGCCTGTTCCAATGCCTGAGCACCCTCTCTGTGAAGAAATTGTTACTAATATCCAGTCTAAACCTGCCCCTGAGCAGCTTGAGGCCGTTTCCTCTTGTCCTGTCACTCGTGACTTGGGAGAAGAGACCGACCCCACCTCTCTCCATCCTCCTTTCAGGCAGTTGTAGAGAACGATCAGGTCCCCCTGAGCCTTCTCTTCTCCAGACTAAACACCCCCAGTTCCTCCAGCCATTCCCCATCACACTTGTGCTCCAGACCCTTCACCAGCTTTGCTGCCCTTCTCTGGCCCCGCTCCAGCACCTCAATGTCTCTCTTGTAGTGAGGGGCCCAGAACTGAACACAGTGTTTGAGGTGTGGCCTCACCAGTGCCCAGCACAGGGGGATGATTACTGGCCTGGCCCTGCTGCTGCTGATACAGGCCAGGATGCTGTGGGCCTTGTTGGCTGCCTGGGCACAAGCTGGCTCATGTTCAGCCAGATATGATGCATAGCTCTGGCTGAAACGCCCCTTGAAGTGGCTTTTGGTGCTCAGCCAGGAATTCCACAGCTCGTAGCTGAGGAGGGGGAAGGAGGACTGCCATGAGGGACCTGGAGCAGAGCCACCTCTGAAGTGTGTGTGTTTTTATCCATCCTGCGCTCCTGCAGCCAAAGGCTAGTCCCTTTGGATTAATGGTTCCTGGCTGCTCACTCAAAATGCTGGGGTGTCACACTGACCCCAGGTCAGTCTGAGAGCCTCAGCTGAGGTACTATGGGCTGAACCCAGGCTTCCAGTAACTGGCACAGCATCAGGCATCATATGGCTGGTAAGAGCCCAGCCAGCGCAGCTGCTGGACACGTCCTGCTGCCTGCAGCCTCTGGCTGTGGTAAGGATGCAGGACATGAGCAAAGTGAGGAAGCCGATGAAGCCAAGGAGTGGCTGAGGTGGTGACAGATATAACCACGAAGTTACCTGTGCGAAATAGCCAAACTGCTGAATAGTAATATCCACCACATCCAGAGGCTAAGTAGATATTTCTGTGTTTTTATAAGGAACATGGGCCTTAATCCACCTCTGCCTGTGGTATGAGAGGGGATGCAAACCCAAGGCCATAAAGATGGTGGTACCCAGAGCTGAGTGGCTGGACCTTACAGAGTTTGCCCTCAGGATCTCCTGGGGCTGACAGAAAAGATGTGTTTGACAAACACAACACTGTGAGGAGGTTGGTGCCGCCAAGGATGTCTCCTGCCCTGCCTCCTCCCTCCCTGCCCAGGGACCACTGCACCATGCAGAAGCCATCCCAATTCCCATGGCAGGGATGCTGACCTGTAACATGTGATGTAAGTGCTGTACATTATGGTTGTATTGAGTTACTGCAAACATTAATTAAACAGTTTGAGCAAACACCTACCTATTGAGCCAAATCCCGCCACCAGCTGTGGCAGTGTAACAGCTAAGGCATTCAGTGCAGGGAGGATGGTTACACAGCTAGCATGAAGTAATTAAGAAGAGCATATGCAAGTGTTAAATATGCTTAATCAACTCCGAGAGACCTTCCACCTCCCATGCCCTGCTCTGGTCCTTGCAGGTTAAGTTCAACCCAGGGCTGGAGGCTTTGCTGGAGGGACTCTCTGTCCAAACCTGCATGAAAAAGCCCATACAAGATCGAGAGGTGTTTTTTTAGGAGGACATTTAATTGCCTGTCCTAACCTGGATGACAGTGGGAAGGGAACAGATAAGAACTGGAGGGCTGAGGGTCCAGCTGTGCTGGCATTCCAGCTCATCTTCCCAAAAGAGGTGCCCCATCCCTGCAATCAGTGAAGGTCAGATTGGTCGGGCTCTGAGCAATCTGATCTGTTTGAAGATGCCCCTGTTCATTGCAAGGGGAGCTGTACAGGGGGGTGGACTAGGTGACCTTTAAATGTCCCCTCCAGCCCAAACTATTCTCTGATTCTGGATGGATGTGATGGAGGGGTGTCCATCCCCTGCCTCCAACCTGCCCCTCAGAAGCTGCCTCGAAAAGGATGAAGAATGGCTGCTCACTTTTTAGGGTGCTACTCCTAATGCGTGACGAAGGGTGAAATTTAAATGCTCTTTATCTCCCCATGCATTTGCCTCTAGCTCCTGCGCTATGTTCTTGAGTTGTGGAGACCATTCATAGGCTCTGCCAAGAAAATGGATTGAGACTCAGGGAGAATGCAATGGTGGTAGAGGGGATCAAACATGTTCCCCATCCCACTGCTCTTCCCTTTGCTGCCTTGCTGCTGACTCTCTGCATAGGTGTGACCTGGAGGCAAGCAGCACATGAGCCATCCAGCCAGTCATTCTGCTTCCTCAGCCTCCTACGTGCTGATGGTTGGGTGCAGCACCATGACTCTGCCTGGGTCCAGAGGAGAAGCAGCCAGTTTTGCTGCATACATGGCTTGTTTGGCCAGGTCCAAACCCTGTTTCTCCAGAACCCCAGAGCATTTCAGACACGTATCTCACAAAACCAACCCTCTCCACTCTTCATTTATCTCTTCTCGTTCATTCATCTCCCCCACCATTCATGGGGATTTAGCTTTCAACGTGGGGACTTTTGTATGTGAGCCCTTCAAAGAAGTCCTGGTGCTGTAAGCCCTTACAGTGCTCACAGTGTTCCTGCCTAGGCCTTGGGCTGGCTGCCTCCAGCAAGTTGCTGCCTGGTTTGAATCGAGTATCTCCATAATGAAGAGCTGAAGATGTCTCATGGTATGCCTGCTGGAAATGCAGTGCAGAGCACCTCTGCTCAGCTGAAGCATGCGAGCAGTTGGCCTTCAGTTGTCTTCAGGCTGAAGCGGACAAGCAGACTCCAAACGGTTTTGGCTTCCGCTGCTGACCTTAAGGAACCATGTTACAACACAAGGGCTTGCTTTTCATTTCAGTCCTACTAATACAGATTACTGGGGACTCTGCAGAAGGCAGTGAGCAAAAAGCACAGAGCTTCAGTAGCCCCTAAGGCTGGAGGCTTCTCCCAGGCTCTGCTGGTGGCCGTGGTGGTTCTGTGGACACTGGGGAAACCCTGGTGCCTGCCAGGGCTGCAGCCTCAGGGATGCAAGGTGCACATCTTGTAGTCTCTTCCTCCAGGAACCAGGGGGTGTCCCCCAAAATCTGGATTCCCCACGTTCTCAAAAGCAAAGGGCCTTTTTCCTGCTGTGTCCTCCCAGGGACATGGTGCCTGTAGGGCGAGAGATGTCTGTAAAATGCGAGATGTTGGAGATGGGTGCCCGAGGCTTTGCTGCAGGGCGATTCTGGGGCTCCCCAGGCCCCTCTGCCTGGGAGCAGGCGCCCGGTGGGGGTGCAGGCAGCTCCCGACTGGGAGCACGGCTGCCTGCTCCTCTTGGCTAGCCGGGTCTCACCTGCGGGTCGAGCCTTACCCCTGCGGGGGGTGCAAGCGGTGAAACACTTGGTCTGGGCTGTGTGGCGGAGGGGTGACGGGGCTGCGAGCTGGCGGGTCTCCATCACCCCTCCAGCACACACCAGGCCGCACCACACCGCCGCCGGCGGGAACGGGGTGGGTGCGCGCTCCCGGCGCGGCGCGGCCCCGTGGGCGGGAGCGCGCGGCTCGTCGCCGCCGCCGGGCTGCCAGGCACGGCTCGGCTGGGCTCGGCGCGCCTCGGCTCGACTCGGCTCCGCTCGGCACGGCCCGGCAGCGCCTGCCGAGCCCCCCGCCCGCTTCCCGCCATGGACGGGGGCGCCTTCGGAGCGGGGAAAGCCGGCGGCGCCTTCGACCCGCAAGCCTTCATCCGGCAGCCGCAGACCCTCCTGCGGCTCCTCTCCTGGGTAAGGCCCTGCCTGCACCGGGGGCTGCACCGGCACCGGGGGACGGGGGGGACGGTGAATGTCCCGCCAGGCCGCGGGGGTCACGGGGCTCCCTCCGGGGCGGGCAGCTGCTACTCGCCCCAACCCTGACCTTTCTGCATACCTGCGTATGTCTGTATACATGAGATTATGTTGCATGCTATATAGTATTATATACCCTTACTTATACATTCTGTTTATATCTTATACATTCTGTGTTATGTATTATACATTCTATATTATATAGTACTATAACTATGCTGTTATGTGTTACATATTTATTATTTTACGTTTTACGTATGCCTATATATCCATCTATATAGATAAGCATATATCCGTTACATATCCACACATCTAGATCCACACACACGGAGAAAAATATGGATATTGCTCCATCTGTATCTGCATACATATATGCATGTATGTTTGGATATATGGATCTATTTCTGGGTTTATATATCTCCATATGTATATATGCCCATATGCATAGCCACATATATGTGTGCACACAGCTCTATGTATATAAATATATCTGTGTGTATGGGTATAGGGCCATATAGTTATAGGGCTATATGGGGTGAGAGCATTCTGGTTTGGGGTTTCTTCCCTGGGGAGGGAATGGGTGAGCTGGGTTGGACTGTGACCCCATCTCCATCTCTGCTCTTTTGGGGGTGGTGATTGGGTCTTCTCATCCCTTCATCCCCATGCCAGTGAGTTTATGGTGGGCACGGGGAGGCAGCAGGACATGGGGTGAATGGGGGAGCTGGCGGTGATGCTGCAGTCCTGGTGTGAGTCCTCAGTGGGTCAAGGCTTGGGAAGTTCTGGCTGTGCTGGGGCAAGCTGGGGGGTCGATGAGGGCTGGATGTTACTCTGTGTTTTATCCTTATCCTGTCACCCTGCCAACCTCCTTTTCGTGTAATGCTTTCCCCCCTGTAATTTGTGGGGAAGGGGGCAGACGGAAAGGGGGGGTCTAAGGAGGGTGGTGGGGAGGGCGCGGGGTGCCAGGGGGAAGGTCTTTCCCGCTTCCCGTGACTATGGTCCCATGGCTGCCTGTGGGGCTGGCGCATATGTGGAAGAAGGTCATTGGGATTAAGGGAGCGAGAGCTGCAGTACAGAGCTGGTGGGGGAGAGATTGAGGTCTCAGCCGGGAGCGGAGAAGGGAGGGCGGGGAGAGAAACACATGCGCACCGGAGCTGGGAGGAGAGACATCAGGCTGGCTTTGGGAAGATGAAACAGAAGCAGTGCCAGGCGGGGGGAATGAGGAGGGAAGGGGGAGGCAGCCTTTGTGCTCCCGGCTGGGGGTGTGGGTAATGCCCCCTCTGTGTGCTGTGACCCGGGGGGCAGCTGGAGAGCCCCAAGACAGCTGAGGACGTGATTAACGCAGGCGATCTGTCTGTCCGAGCTTGTTTACAGAGCAGCACATCACGCCGGGAGCAGGCTGGCTGCCGGGCACCGCGCGAGGGGGTACACAAGGGTGGAGTGGAGCCAGCCTGCATGCCCGGGGATGACGGACGTGATGTGACCTACAAAGGCTCTCCCGTTGCTAATCTGTGTGGCAGAATTTCCTCTTTCTCCCTTTCGGTCTGGTGGCTTGTGGGTTTTTTCCCGTTCATCCGAGCACTGCGGGATTTTGGCTTCCCAGAGGCACCAGGTGAGGGAGGGAGAACTTGAAGTATGTTTATTTTTCTAATTAGGGACCTACTTTGCTTCAGACTATTTCAGACACCGTCGAGTTGCTCACTGAGCTCAGCTCCATGCCCCACAAGGCCTTCCCAGGCAAGGAGTGCTTCCCAGGCACTGGCTTCTCCTTGGGACCTCTCAATGTTTCCCCCTGCCCATTGATCAGATGCAGGGGACAGGATGGGATTTACCCTGATTTATACCTGCACGTTTCACTTAGCTGTGGAAATCAAAGGCTTTTTGAAGGAGCTGGAGATGTACCAGGTCAGTGGTCCAGCAAGGGACGCTGGCCTGGCTGTCATGGCACAAGGCTATACATGCACCTCTTCTCTCCCAAAATACAAATTCCTTCTCCTGCTTTTCCATTAGCTTGGTCTTGTGCGTCATCCTGAGCATCTCTCCCTCTGCAAAGCCAGGGAGCCACAAGTTCACCCTAGAAATTTAGTTGTGGTTTTGGTCTTTATTTTAACTCAAGACCAAGAGGAGTCCTTATGGTCACTGAAGTCCTTTTTCAGGCTGTCACAAGCATCAGAACCTTTATGGCTCCCTCCATAAACTGGTTGAACTTTGCTGAAAAACAGACTAGTTCATGGTGTTTTGCCCTTCTCACTCCCTCTGGGAGAGGGTTCAGCACCTCCAATGGTCAGGGCCCTCCACTGTAAATCTATTCATGGCTAGGTTTTTATACATTTGCTTTTATGCTTCTGTGCCCTTCAGTTTAAATGATGCTTTTCCCTCCCTGGTGTTTTCCCAGGGGTGTATTTATAGACTGCGATCACATCCGCACTCAGCCTTTCTATTGCCAGGCTCTGTGAGCCAAACTCTTCTGGTGGCAAAGGGCTCTCCCTCCCCATGGTGTCTGTGAGAGTCCTTCCTTTCACCTGCTCTTGCCCACACTGGAAGCACTTTGCCTGCCATCTCCCGAGCTCTCGTTTGCCTTTATCCTGCCCCGTGGTATGGATGGTCCATTTACTTCCCAGGGCAAACTGGAGATTCCTTTCGTCCTGTTTCATGTGATGAGCTGTCACTGAGAGCAGAAATTCTCATGATCGCTTTCGCAGGCAGTGACCTTGTGCTCAGATCATGGCTGCTTTATAGCAGACTTTGTAATGGCACGGGGGTGTCTATGGCTTTTTACCAACAGGCAGCAAAACTGGCTCCTCCCCAGGGAGTTTGCAGCCCAGTTGAGATAGCGGCAGATCTCCAGGGAGAGTTGCAGATTCAGGAGCAGATGGGGTGACCCAAGGTTATTTATGTTGCTCCTTGCTGAGGAGAAGATGGTATAGGTTTGACAAGGAGGATGCTAAGCTATGGAAAGAGGTTAGCAATTCTGAAGCATCTGTCCACGACAACTGCTTTGTGGAGCAGCTCAGGTTTCTTAGGTGTTTTGGAGGTCAGGCACAGTGAGTAAGTATGCATCTCCCTGCAGAAAGGTTGCCTGGCACAGGTGCTGGCAAGTGATGCTGGTCCTGCAGAGTGCCTGTGTTAGGTTCGGACAGGATTCACACTCAGCGCAGGCCATTTCTCTGCTGCTGTCTCCCCCAGATGCTGCCTGCCCCAGATGCCCTGGATGAAGCAGCACCTTGTAGCTCAGGGAGGTAGCCTTAATGGAGCAGTCCCTTCTGAGCATCTCTGCTGAGGATGCCTCCAAGGGCATCTGGATCTTGCACTGAGGGGACTTCTTCGATACAGCCGGGCTGATTAAAGCAATATTCTGCTGGAAGATCCCAAAAGCTTTCCCATGTCGCTGGGGAGAAGGGCAGAACAACTTCCTCCTTATTCTCAGTGGCAGTGAAGTGAGGCAACTCATTGTATTGTAATGGATGGCTGGGTTTACTCCCAGTCCTGGTCTTTCAAGGCATTGCTCCATGCTGTGTCACTTTGCTTGCCACTGGCTGCAACACAGAAGGGTGTTCTGAGCTGAGCTGCATCACACAGCTGGTACCTCACAGTAGATGAAACATAGGTGCATGGATGGGGTTTTACCACCTTGACACACAGACCTGCCTTCAGCCTGCTTAGGTGACGCAATAGCAGAGCTGGGTGACCCACACTGATCTGGAGCTGTGCAGCTCCAGCATGGTTCTGGAAATAAAGCAGACAAGTGTGGGCACATCCCTGCCTAATCCCATTCCACCCTGACCCACAGTGCTCTCCACAGCCGGCGCGGGGGAGCTGGGAGGCTCCTTTGCAACCCGCAGGCGTTGGATGTGGTGCTAGCTCCATAAATAAGTAAAATGCTAATCGAAACAGTTTGTTCCAGGTGCTCCTGCCTGCTTGGAAACCTGCTTGCTGGAGAAACTGAAGTGCTGCTCAATGTAAAAGCCTAACAAGGCAAAAGCAACTTGCTTTTTGGAAGTAGACCTTGCTAGGTGGCTTGAGTGAGAGTATTTGCAACTGCAGCCGCACAGGCAAAGCAGACCATTAAAACTTGCCACACACACCAAGATGCTAAGTCCCCCTTTGACACCAAGGGTACTGCCCCTCTAGAAGGAGGTCTGATGAGGAGAGGCACTGCCTGCCCTCCATCTGCTCTTCCGTCACCTTCTGCCATTGCCGCTGTGTCCCCTGGCTGGTGGGAACTTGTAGACCTTTTGAGCCAGGACATGAAGCACTGTCCCCTCTCCCTGCAGGCACAGCAAGGCCCAGGCAGCTCTGCCTGAGCAGACAAGGCAGGTGAAGGATGAGGGCCACTCACCATGATGGGCTGGCACCGGTGATCTGGAAGATGGGGACAAGCCCTGGCATGGCAGGGAGCCCTCTCTCCTGCCTTGCCAGCAGATCCCTGGCTTGCTGCACTGATGCTTGGCTTAAGATACCTTATGCCATCCTTCACCGTATGGAAAGGACACCCAGCGTGGGCTTGCGGGAGCATCTAAGTCGAGCATTAGAGCCCGGGGGCCTTGTTATTCTGAAACGAGCTGCAGCCTCCACCTTCTTTCTGTCCCAGTGTTCCTTGATGATTCGTGCCTCTACTCTTCCATGTGATTTTTACCCACAGCCACAATGACTGCTGGCTGTGTTCTTGTGAGGTATGTTGATACGCAATGAAAGAAACATGGCAGTTCAAAGCATGTGCTTTCAGTCAAGCCCAAGGTACAGTTTTTCATGGGATCCCCTTCCCTGGGATGGCTTCAGAAGGGTTTTTGAGGGATTGCTGTCACTGGGATTGGGTGAGAAGCTGTGTCAGAAGATGAACAATAGATGTGAGCAGCTGTGCGGTGATTAGGGGTTGGATATAGCAGGTCGTGTTGTTTCCAGCATAGCATGTCCAGAAAAGGTCTTGGAGCAGGAACAAATCT